CGTCCGTCCGTCCGTTCCATCGAGATCTCGGCCCCTGGGACACCTAGAGACTTCGGGTTTTCGCTAATTGATAGCTGCTATGGTCTATATTTGCCCATTTCAGACAGTTTTATTGCACTCTCTATTTTGCGCAGACTGCGCATTGCCAACTTTCCTATTTATGGAGATATTTCTTTGAAATTGGAACCACAGATGCTTCTAGTAAAGGCAAACATTTCGCAAATAGTAAAAATTATGTGTAGGCAATTTTCTTATTTATGGAGATATTTCTTTGAAATTTTAACCACAGATGCTTCTAGTAAAGGCAAACATTTCACACATAGTAAAAATTATGTAGACATGCGCAGTGACTGCGCAATGCGAACTTTCCTATTTACTGAGATTTTTCTTTGAAATTTTAACCCCACATGCTTCTAGTAAAGGCAAACATTGCGCACATACTAAAAATTATGTGTGCGGATCTGCGCAATGCCAACTTTCCTATTTATGGAGATATTTCTTTGAAATTTGAACCACAGATGCTTCTAGTAAAGGCAAACATTTCGCAAATAGTAAAAATTATGTGTAGGCATGCGCAGTGACTGCGCAATGCCAACTTTCTTATTTATGGAGATATTTCTTTGAAATTTTAACCACAGATGCTTCTAGTAAAGGCAAACATTTCACACATAGTAAAAATTATGTAAACATGCGCAGTGACTGCGCAATGCGAACTTTCCTATTTATTGAGATTTTTCTTTAAAATTTTAACCACAGATGCTTCTAGTAAGGGCAAACATTGCGCACATACTAAAAATTATGTGTGCGCATGCGCAGTCCCTGCGCAATGCCAACTTTGCTATTTATGGAGATATTTCTTTGAAATTGGAACCACAGATGCTTCTAGTAAAGGCAAACATTTCGCATAGTAAAAATTATGTGTAGGCATGCGCAGTGACTGCGCAATGTCAACTTTCTTATTTATGGAGATATTTCTTTGAAATTTTAACCACAGATGCTTCTAGTAAAGGCAAACATTTCCCACATAGTAAAAATTATGTAGACATGCGCAGTGACTGCGCAATGCGAACTTTCCAATTTACTGAGATTTTTCTTTGAAATTTTAACCACACATGCTTCTAGTAAAGGCAAACATTGCGCACATACTAAAAATTATGTGTGCGCATGCGCAGTCCCTGCGCAATGCCAACTTTCCTATTTATGGAGATATTTCTTTGATTTTTGAACCACAGATGCTTCTAGTAAAGGCAAACATTTCGCAAATAGTAAAAATTATGTGTAGGCATGCGCAGTGACTGCGCAATGCCAACTTTCTTATTTATGGAGATTCTTTGAAATTTTAACCACTGATGCTCCTAGTAAAGGCAACAACTTGTTGATTGCAGCGTTATCGGAGATCGGGGATTTCATTGAGGCAACTGAAGACGTCTTGATTATGAGAGACTTTAATTTCCCATTAACTGTCGGAAATCGGGTAGAGAAATTTCTTCAAGAGAAATTCAATATAGTGATCATCTCTCCCCGAACAGTGACAACGAATGGCGGAACAATAATTGACAGAGTTTTTGGCAAAATGGTCAACTACACTGTTGATTGTTCGGTTTACGAGTCGTACTGTTCATACCATCGTCCAATTATTATTAGAGTTCGTGAAAATTAATAAAGAAATATATGTTTGCATAAACCTTATTTTATAATTAAAATTTTCTGATAAAATACTGATTGCTAATGCAATACTGATCCGTCAGACCAAAAATGCGCTGAAGTCTCATCGATGCACATACGAGGACTTTTGTAATTTTTTTTGTCCTAGGGGCGAAATTAACGACCTTTTTCAAGGCGCGCGCGCGTCTTCGAGCGGTAGTCGACTTCGGGCGCCTTTTACCTTCCGTTGCGAATTTTGTCACGCGGTTTTGCGTTTCGTAAATCTCGAATCGCTGTCTCTCTTTCTCGTGTCGCCAATAGAAGCTTGAGTAATGAGAAGTGCCCCAAACATTAAGCACTACCTTGTGGAAGGTTTTTAGCGAAATCCACCAAAATGCGGGTGTAATATAACTAAGTATGCACCGAAAAAGGAAATGTGGTAGCCTCCTCAAGATCTAACTGGTGGTGGAGTGAAAACTTCAAACGCGAATTTGGGGTGAACGGGGCGTCGGAAGTGGGTACCGCCAAAAGGAATGTGGTAGCCCGCGACACGATCTTCCTGATGTTGGAGTCAAATCTTCAAATGCGAATTGCGGGTGAACGGGACGTCGGAAGTGAGTACCAACAAAGGGAATGTGGTAGCCCCCGACAAGATTTTACTGAGGGCGGAGTCACTCAACTTTAACAACTTTAAACGCGAATTGCGGGTGCACGCGGAAAGTGGGAAGCGGGTACCGACAAAGTGCATGCAGTAGCTTTCGACAAAATCTTTTATTGATGGTTGTGTCAAAAGTGGCTAATAGAATACTGATCTGCCACACAAAGATGCGCTGAAGTTCCTTCGATCTCACACGAGGACTTTGATAATTTTTTTTAAACTTTACCACCCTGTATCTCAAAAATTAAAACGTTTACCACATACGTTCATAGGAGGTTTTTTTCTTAAAATGGGTCCAATCCCATTAAATATTAGCACGTCTTTAAAGAACACCTTGTATACGGGTGTCCCTAAAAGGTCTGTACAACGCGCTACCAGGGGTTCTTGGTATCAAAATAGGACGATTTAACCCAACTTACCTCTATCCAAATGTGCTTCGGTAAGACGCTATCTACCGCCAAAGATTAAAAAAAAAATCGTTATTTTTATTTTATCGGAAAATGGTTTTGCCGATTAAAATGAAATTCGGGATGTGAATGTCTAATGTAAAAAGGGTTTTTGTGATATCATCGTTTTGATTGTAGTTGCTATGTAGGTGGTAAAATACTGACCATCCACATCTGAAGAGGTCTAAAACTTTTTAACTACTATTTTGACGGTTCTGAATTTTTAGACACTGATAGACAGTTTATTCATGGTTCCGTTAACGACATCAATTTACTGAGTCAAGTTAATTTTTTAGTACCAACTTATTTCAATCGTAGTAAATTTCTATTTCATATTCCTCATTCGCGCACAAATATAATGTTTCATTCGCCATTAATTGTCATGTTACGCCTCAACAATGTATCGTTGTATATCGACATATTTCTTGCTTCTCAATCTTCTTTTCTCAAAGTCTGTATTGATACTGTGTAGTTTTTATGAATTTATTGCCCATTTATTATAGTTTTTTTTTAGTTTTTCTTTTATAATTTTTTTTTATTTTTTAAGTTTAAATTATAAATTGTATCATCTATAAATTATAAATAAGTTACGTTAAATAATGTCATTAATCAATTTTTTAAGTTCCATCACCTGCATTATGATTTCCATTACAATTATTAGTATCGATGTTATAATTTAGGTTTAGTTCTCTTTATTTCTGTCTATCTGTTTTGTGAATGTATATATTTACAAGTGAACTGCTTCGTTGTAATTGGGAAATTCCTGTAATGAAGCATGGAAATAAATAATAATAATAATGTTTTAGTTTTGTCTTATAACGTAAAACTTACTTGATCCGTATTGATCCCGTTCAAAGTTAAATTATAACAGAAATTGTCTTTGAAACTACCTGCCGGTTGTTGATACTGCATGCTAACCATGTTAAATTACAGATAAATAAAACTCCCAAGGAATGTCAAGGAACCGTTTTGACGTTTACAATTGGGTCGAATTCAACAATTTTTATTTAGTTTTCTGTATAGCGTAAATATTTATTTAGTTTGTGTACATATATTTTCTAATTATATTTCTTGTATTATACCAAGGTTTAGTTCATTAAAATAGTGATGACCTGTTATCTCCGGCTTTAGAGCTACCCAGAAGAACTCCCGATGATCTTGAAACGTAGACAACCAACCATACAGTTTGTCTGGGGGAACAGGAGGTGGTTTAAAAAGGGAGATTTTAGAGGTCCTTGAGTTACGAAGAGGCAAAGTGTAGCCTGTTACCACCAGGACCGTTACAAACTTTGTCTCCACAATAACTGCTTTTTGGGTTAACATTTTTGGTTGTAATAGCATTTATTCAAATATACCGGTACATATAAGGTTACGACATTCGCATGAAACAAAAATTATTTATCTGATTCCTGCCCTGCACTTTCGCCGTTATTTAAGAAATAAGATCTTAAAAAACTGCCATATAAAGTATATATCTTTCATTTTTATCACACACTGATAATAATTTGTTACAAAATTTAACTTCATTCACAAGCTTAAACCTTTAACAACAATCGCTCGTTAACAGAAATTCATTGGTTTAAGTCGAAACAGCGTTATTGAGGAAATCGCAAGGCAACTTTTGTACTATTTGTAAACGCCCCACCTTAGTAAGAGAAGAGTGACCAGCAATTAATTAATCATTCAAAACCTATGTGTATGGAAGACCATTTAGCACAAAATTTGAAGAAATTCGCAAGAGGATACAACTTTTCTAATAGGCAACCGGAAGAAACATAGCACAAGGATTTTTTCTAAATTTTGTAGAAATACCACATTTCTTCAAGATTGGAATTCTTTTCGCATCCCCTAGGCAAATCCGTTAATTCCATCCTCCATGCATTATGGTTGCTAATAAAATTTAAAAAAAATGCAAGTTTTGGAACGTTTGGGTGCGTAGCTCCTAAACGAAACATTCTGGACCATCCGTTTATTTATTGTACATCTTTCACTAAATATATGTGGGTCATCATAAAGAAAACAAAACAAAGTTGGTGTGTCAACTACAAATACAGTTGTCATCGCAACATAAGGACATAAGAATTCCCATTATTTAAGAAATCGATTTCATTTACCAGTCTGTTGTTCATTTAGTTTGTATAGAATACAATCTACAATATATCCCTTACTTTATGATAACCAACAACGCAAGAAAAATATATCATTCTGTAAGCGATAGTGACGTTAGGTAGGTTCACAGAATAAATAAAATGTTAGAAAATTTCGCATTTATTAGTATTTAAACGGTTGTGTACATGTTACAAGTTTTTGTCGATGAATGTTCTGAGAGAAGCAACATGGGCGTATACCCCAGGATATTCTGGATGAGCGCATCCGTAGCCCCATGAGACGATTCCAACCTGTTTCTCACCAACTACGAGTGGGCCACCGGAATCTCCCTGGCAAGAGTCTTTTCCTGGGCTTCCAAAGCAGATCATGGTGTCGGTAATGTCACCACCGTAGCTTTCATTGCATTCTTTCCTGTCCACTTCTTTAACGTCAACGGCTTGTAGTTGTCGAGGAGAGGATCCTCCAGATGACAGGGTTCCCCATCCTGTGCACACTGCTTCACGATCACCTTCTGTTGCGTTGGCTTCTACCATTGCGATCGGTTTGCCGATATCCGAATCCTTGATGGGTTCAGCCAGAGTTAATACGGTGACGTCATCACTAATTGTAGATGGATTATAGGCTGGGTTCTGTGCAATACTGGCCACCTTAATCACGACACCTTCAGAACCTTTGTAGGTGCTGGAGTGACGAATTGATAATGAGCTAGCAGATGAGCTGTAAAATATTCGTTAATCTCGAGTACTAACATAAAAGACTTTCTCATACCCGCTGGTGCAGTGGGCCGCAGTAAGTACTTTGTTTGGTCCAATGATGGAGCCCCCGCAAATATGACTGCCGTAATATTGCAAAGATACTTGATATGGATAGTCCTCAATCTTGACCGGTTTACCACCAACGATTTTTCCATCAAGTCTCGGAGGTGTGGCGTTCTGTAGTTTTGCACCTGATGTTAAAACATTTGTGAACATACAATTTCATTTCAAAATGGTATAACTTACCCGCTGCTAAGGTGACTGCGGTTAGGAGAAGTACTAATCGGAACATGGTTGACATTGTTCTGAAGCAAAATAAACTGTCCTAACTATTTATAGTACCTAGTACTTGTAGTTTTTATGATAAACGAACCCATTACACTTGAAACGATTTAAATGAGAACTCATATTTCACGGCACAAACAAACCACTTGTGAATTTACTTTAAATGATTCGATGTGATGGAGTGTTTCAAACCTCTTGTCATTTCATTGCAAAAGTTCCGTTGTCCTTGTCATTAAATAAGGGATACAAGATAATAGTATATTATATACCAAGGGTGTGTTTTAATCCCGAGGGTGCAGATTTTGCCCGAAACGTAGTTGAGAGCAACAAGCACCCGAGAGATTAGGACGCACTTTAGTCCTGTGGTATATACCCTATTTTTTGTACTCCGGTAATCAGCTACGGCAATTTCAATGTTAAAGTGCAAGCTTGAAAGAAAGAATTTGTTTGATTGTAGGATCAATATACCTGGTAATGTCAAATTGTGACCGTGTAACGATAAATGTCAGTTTGATTTAAAGATTCTAGTTTAAAACTACGGGGTACAATTGATCGTTTAAAACTCTGAAGAACAAGCTATAAGGAAACCTACTGACTGCCAAATTGAAAAAGATATATGGAAAACAGTATAATAAGTGTAAATTAAATTGTGTTTGACAATTCAGTGTGGACCTGTCACTTTTTGTCCCGCGAAAAAATTGCACTTTCGTCCCTTAAATGAATGATAAAACACGTTGATTTAGTCAATAAGTATAAAAACGTTTATATGCCACTAGCACTGACCTGGGTCAGTGACCACTAGCGGCAATTAGTTGTCCCTACTGACTTATAGAAAACGCTGTTAGACGCTTCTTGTGCAGTAGAAGTGGAAACTTTTTTTGTTAAATAGTTTGAGTAAAAGTTGTATAGAAATTATCTAATTTATTTTGTGAAGTTGTATGATTCTATGTCACACTTTCTTTTTTTTTATTTTTATATTATTTATATTAAAAAATCAAAAACAAGACTGAGTGAATAATATCCGGGGGGATATTATTAAACTGCACTGAGTGGAGAACGGCCTCATTCCCCAAATTATGGCCTGGACGCTCAGATGCAGGTGAACTAAAGACGTTTTATTCAATAGTCTCTTTATTCTACTTTTTGTACAGTTTATATACAGAAGGATTGTGCATATTGCAATTACCTACTCTACATATTTTCATGACAACGTTATTAATAGTATACAATTTCCTATAACCCATTTCCTAATTGATCTACATAAAACCTACGATAATAATTTATTGTTACTCTTGCTTAACTGCTTACTTGCCAATTGTTGTAATGCAACTATTCTAGGTCGTATTTACGCAAAACTAAATTCTTGTTTGATGAATATTAAACACTGAGAGACCATTCACATTCTTGCATAAAATATATCATGGTAATTACAGACAATCGCATAAAAACACTCAAACATCATATTAAACGATTTAAAGTGAATTGAGAAGTGTTTTATTTTTATCGTCAAATATGATTACTCATTGACGAATAAGATAGTTTGAAGTGTATTGGGTTCGTCTATCATGATTACGAGTACTGGGCACTATAAATATTTCGCACGGTGCATTTGGCTACAGAACAGTTTCAACCATGTTCCGATTAGTACTTCTCCTGACCGCAGTCACCTTAGCAACGGGTAAGTTAAACCAAAGAGTATGTTACTCTTTGGTTAAACCATTTTGAAAAGAAGTTGTATGTTCACAAATGATTTAACATCAGGTGCAAAACTACAGAACGCCACACCTCCGAGACTTGATGGAAAAATCGTTGGTGGTAAACCGGTCAAGATTGAGGACTATCCATACCAAGTATCTCTGCAATATTATGGTAGTCATATTTGTGGGGGCTCTATAATTGGACCAAACAAAGTACTTACTGCGGCCCACTGCACCAGCGGGTATGAGAAAGCCTTTTAAGTTAGTACTCGAGATTAACGAATATTTTACAGCTCATCTGCTAGCTCATTATCAATTCGTCACTCCAGCACCTACAAAGGTTCTGAAGGTGTCGTGATCAAGGTGGCCAGGATTGCACAGAACCCAGCCTACAATCCATCTACAATTAGTGATGACGTCACCGTATTAACTCTGGCTGAACCCATCAAGGATTCGGATATCGGCAAACCGATCGCAATGGTAGAAGCCAACGCAACAGAAGGCGATCGTGAAGCGGTGTGCACAGGATGGGGAAGCCTGTCATCTGGAGGATCCTCTCCTCGCCAACTACAAGCCGTTGACGTTAAAGAAGTGGACAGGAAAGAGTGCAATACAAGCTACGGTGGTGGCATTACCGACACCATGATCTGCTTTGGCAGTCCAGGAAAAGACTCTTGCCAGGGAGATTCCGGTGGACCACTCGTAGTTGGTGAAAAGCAGGTTGGAATTGTCTCATGGGGCTACGGATGCGCGCATCCAGAATATCCTGGAGTGTACGCCCATGTTGCTTCTCTCAGAACATTCATCGATAAAAACTTGTAACATGTACGAACACAACCGCTTAAATACTAATAAATACGAAATTTTCCAATACTTTATTAATGGGGGTTTACAGTGTAGTTGAATTCCGCAGTTCTAATTTAATAAGCGTGTACCTGAAACCATAAAACATTTTTTTGGACAGTAAGAGTTTATTTAAAAATAGAGGCTGATTAGCAAAAAAATAATGAACATGTGCGGTTTTAAAGGTTTATTCAAAACGATATGATTGTGGCGGGCTCTGTGACGTAATAAGCCCGACCAATCAGCTCCTAGAACCATCCAGATGACATAACGACTTGGCAATATTGCAGGAGAATGGCATTTATAACTTGCGTCATCTGTCACAGGCACTTGTCACTTTCGTGCTAGATGCAGTTAAACATCCCTCTCAAAACGTCAAATGTGACAAACGTCAGACCCTCGGGTAAGGTTGCCAGCTCACTTCTACGTGATTGGTTGTAGGTTTGTGACGTATTTAGTCTGAAGCGTTTCAAATTCGGACTAAAAACACAGCTTTTCAATAATTTATTTTGGGTTTATTTTACTCGCAAATAAAAATTGAGGACACACGGGTCTTTTTATTTTTAATGTACTTTGTAGATCAGAAATAAAAAATGAAGGCGGGATGAGCCCATTCTGTAAACCTACCCGAACCTACCCCACATCACTATTGCTTACACAATATTTATTTTCCTTGCGTTATTGAGAAGCTTTCAATTGAATCTTAAACAATATCGTGTGCTTCTTCTTTGTATTTATTCAGAGCACATCCCTCTCGAGGATATTTTTGAATATTCCGGAAATGAAATGTTCTTTTGCGGATAAACATGACGAGAACTTCGATTTACTTGCTGAACCGGGAACCCCGTATGTAAAACACTACACAAAAGGCTCGTAAGGCACCTCTACAAAGCATTATGCGAGTCACTGTAATTGGGCGCAAACCTGTTGAGGGCCCAGAACAAGAGAGGGTTAATAAATAAATAAATAAACAAATAAAAACCCTATGGGTTAGGTTTTAAGCAGAATCTGACACTCCTATATCACCCAGCCGCAAATCCAGAGAAGCGACGGAATTGTGATAGCAAAACGCAGCTTTTCATCTTCGTGGGCAACGATTACCAAATGGAAAGAGGCTGTACCAGCCATTCGCCGTACATGGTGCATTTTTTACAGTCGTTCGTTGTAGAAAATTAAATTTTCGAGAACATACTACCCATATGGAAAGATATCCGCACACGACGTATGTTGGTCAATAATTCATCGGTTGCCCTTGAAAGAAGTTTTTTTAAAATCCAATACCTAATGACGCTAAAGAATGTAGCACGAGAGCTTTGTATATGAGGTTAACTGTCGCAGATAACACACACATTTCAATTACAAACATACACAATCCTGAGGCCATATCCAGAAAGCCGCTTCAACGCAATTTATTACAAGAGGAAAAATTTCAAATTTCGTTTGAATGAGAGAACAATCTAAAAACTCGGAAATAAAAGTAGGCTAACTTTTGACACAAATTCCCGCAGGCACGCCGTACGTGTTGCTTCTAAAATGGGTAGCTGTCCATCTATCCAAACTGCCTTGAGCAAATATTTAAAATTCACAGTTCTGGCATAAGCTAAATTGTAACACGTCTAAGCGGAGCTACCGTAAATGCGTTTATAATCACTTTATTTATACTTCAGCGTTTATTGCTGCTGCGCGCATTATTCAATTTTATGCTGTAGGCTCTTAATCCTTATAGCTTATGCGTTTCTTATAGTTACGCCCTACTTTTTAACAAAGAATATGTCTTTTAATTAACCTTTCCGTCCTGATTTTATAGTAGGCCCGAGCTCTTTATTTTTTGTTGGTTACTTACTAATAATCTACGTAAAGGAACTCCTCTATACATTCCTTTCGTGCGTATCTTTAAGGATTTTGGTCTAAATGTCAATAAACTAATAAAATTACTAATATACAGGGTGTCCCTAAAAGGTCTGTACAACGCGCTACCAGGGGTTCTTGGTATCAAAATAGGACGATTTAACCCAACTTACCTCTATCCAAAAGTGCCTCGGTAAGGCGCTATCTACCGCCAAAGATTTGAAAAAAAAATCGTTATTTTTATTTTATGGGAAAATGGTTTTGCCGATTAAAATGAAATTCGGGATGTGAATGTCTAATGTAAAAAGGGTCTTTGTGATATCATCGTTTTGATTATAGTTGCTATGTAGGTGGTAAAATACTGACCATCCACATCTAAAGAGGTCTAAAACTTTTTAACTAGTATTTTGACGGTTCTGAATTTTTAGACACTGATAGACAGTTTACTTGCAAGCATTTTTTGTCTCTTGATGAATATCTATCTGTTGCTATCTGTGATGGTTTACGAAAAAAAAAAAAATTTAGGCATGATGATACATGCGATTGTTCCTCAAAAAATCAGAAGATGGCTGTGAAACCTTAGAGTGGCATAACGTTTGTTTGTTGTTTCTTAAACTTGAACAATTTACGTTTTGCTTGAAGACTTAAAATTTCATTGTTAAAATTGTAATATGGCCTTTCAATACAGTAACGCAGAGTTAACTGATATGCT